ATTTTTTATTCAACATTTTATATTTTTCCGTTTGCTTATTTGCTCCATTTATGCTTAATGCGCCATCATTGTTGTTTGGTGGGGAAAAATTAATAAATCAATCAATAATTCAATTTTTCACTTGTATTTTTTACAGAAATATATAAATGCTAATATCAAATATGAATGTGTTATATCAATTCTTCTTTGCTATTTCATTTTTTTTAATCAAATAGCAATTTCTGGTTAGTTTATTGTAAATAATCTTTTTAGCATATAAAATTACCTTATTATTGTTTTCCGTGTAGTATCAGACAAAGGCAATTAAACGATTAACAAACGTGAAAATGATTGATATACGTGAAGCATTAATAAAGTGTAACGTGAATGCTAGCATACTATTTTCAGTTTAGGAACATTTAAATGATATTATGCAAATTTATAAAAGTCAATGATGCTATGCGAAGCTATCAAAGAATTTATTATATTTTGGCGTGGAATGAAACTTAAATATTTTTAAAATATTTGTCAAAATTTCTCAGCAATTTCACAAATATTTCTTTAACAGTTTGTTGTCAGATTAAGTTTGCCAAAATGTTTAAAAAAAAATTGAAGTTTTACGTGAAATTGTTATATTCACACGTGTTTACGAATTGTTTCAGATATGAAAGGATTACGTTTGGATGACATTTCCTCCCAGCGTGAACAATCAAACACATTGACAACAATAGCTGAGCAATCAAAAGATTTGCTAAATCAACAAATGGAACAATGAAGCGCACTTTGAACAATACTACATCAGCGCCGAAATCTATAATGTCACAAATTGCACGCTGCTTACGTAAATTATTGAAATTTAATTTTTGCTTATTTTAATGAAAAATTTCCAAAATTTGTTAAAAAAAATATTTATTTGTGGAAATTTTTAGGCTGCACAAAACCATTCCTTCTAGCAATTCGAGCAGCATTGGTATCAGGAAATCATTTCGAGAGATTTGTTAACGTTTGCAAGTACGCTTTCTTCTAGCGTTTTTCAATTGTTTCACGTAGCATTTAATGTAACATGACGTTATTCATCTTTTTTTTTTTCACACTTACATTTTTCTCTTTTCTATCAAATTTGATCTTAACGTACTGCAAATGTGAGCAAATGTTATATTGTAGCAGATTACGTGGAGTGTTACAGTGTACCAGTCACGTACCCGGAAAATGTTCAAAAGAAAAAGGAATTGAATCCTTACTAAACAGTTTCCGATATTTTTGCATAGATCAATTTTAGGTAATTTAAACTGTTAACTTTTTGTAATATATTTTATTTCATAATGATAATATTGATACCACTTATTTGATTACTGATATATTAAATTCTAATTCATTTCATTTCCTATTATACTAAGTTAGCATTCGCATTATAGCCTATAAATATATTTTCGAATGCTTGGATCTTCATTCAGCAGCAGTTTTACGTTGTAAGTTTACTATTATTAACACAACTTGCGTGTATTTAAATCTAAAATTAATTGATAATTTGATTTTAATTTTTTTCCCTCTTATTCTATTATTATTTCTTAGTATAATTAGAATTTATAATATGTAAAATTTACAGAATGTCAACAGAGATGTCAAGCAACTCGTCAAGTACTTGGATGGTTCCTATACAGTTACATTCATTCCACTTTACCGTTTTCAGTGCCGGAATCTGATGTACCAGCCAAAATAAATGTGAAATATTTTAATAAAATAAGCAGCGATGCTTGTAGGTAAATATTTTATTTTTTTTTCTTGCAACTTTTTTTTTCGAAATTAATTACGAGAAAGTAACTGTTTTTAAAAGTACCGGAATCTGGGAGAGTCGGCTAAAATATATAAAATTGGACAAACCGATAAATCAAGAAATTAGCTAATGAAGTTTACTGAATAAACAAATTTGACCAATTTTAAACAATTAATTTTATCATTGTATCGAGATTGTTTTATTTATTTAAAAATCAGAGACTAGCAAAACGGAATACTGATTGAATAATTTTCTGAAAATATTTTCCTGAAAGCAATTTTTTTTAGCGCATTGTCATGTTATATGCAATGCTTACGGGAGAAATACAATAGACGATGTAGCGATATTGGTGGTAATATGCTTTTGGTAAGAATTTAAAAATTATGCAATAAATGTTTATCTAAGCAATTCTTGAATAATTATTATTGCACAGGTATGAAATGATTGAGGATATATTACAGATTAATGATTTGCTATGATTTTTTCTTTCAGTTTACACTAATATATCATCTTAGTTCGACTTTTTTTTTTCAAAAATAATTTACCCATTTTTAAAATAATGCATAAATACGTGAGAGTAATAGTTCTTATAGGTTTTCATTTAGGTATGTTTATTTACAGGAAGTATTATTCAGGCCATTGGTATCGTTGCACAAGTCTTGGGCATATAGTCCGATAGCTACATCAATGATGCTAATTATGCCACAAACATGTAACTTTCTTACAAATTTAAATCAATTAAACAATTACAGGTGATTTATTTTATTTGTCTGTTAAAGATGTCAAAGAATAAATATATGAAGTTTAGAAATTACAAATGCTTGAAATTGCTGTTAATGTTGTTCATATTTAAGATTGGATGGAAAGACATATGCCAAAATTAATAATGCATTTCCGAAAAGTGCTATAAATCAATATGCCAATCATTTGCAAGTATAATTTTTAAATTTTCCTATTTTTTAAAATCATTTTTTTTTAAAAAAAATTATGCTAAATACAATATTTGTTTTTTTCACTGATAAGTTTTTCTAAATTTTTCTAATAAATTTTTGGAAAAAGTAATAATTTTCAAGGGTTCTAATTCGTCTGCTACTTTATGGATGCCACTTTTGAAAAATATACCATCACCGCTGGATCATACAGAATTTTCGAGTAATCCAATAAAAGTTTCAAGTAAGCAAATATTTTAAATCATTTTAATCATTCTAAGATAGTAGCAAAAATTGATATATTAATCATTATAGCACCAACAATACATATTGAAGAAATTGAGGAAGCAATTGAAGAACTAAAAGCCATCGATAAATTGCAACAATTAAAATTATAATCTCACTTTTTACTTTTATTCATTCTTTTTCAACTTTTTGTTATATTTATTTTTAGAAAGTTTGATGTCATTCTATTTTTTTTTTTTTAGTTTTTTCATTTTAATAGCAAAGTATTTGTAATTAACTTTATTTTAAACAATGAAGTTATCTGTCTTTTTTATTTTGAGAACTAGAAGAATCCAATACTTTATTATTTCTTGTTTATGGTTTTAGAATTTTATTACTTCTTTTCCTACTTGTATAAATAAGGACAGTGAGGCGAATAAAAAGAAATCTCTTCGATACCCAAAGCATCAATAATAATTGTCACCAATAAGGTGACGATATTCAGAATTTGCTTCTGTCAAGATTGCATTTGATTACGAATGACCTTATTCCGATACTCACAAATTTAAATTAACAACAAATTTTTTAACATAAAAATCTTTAATCTAAATCAGTGAAACAAGTTAACAATCACTTAACTTAATTACCTTAATTACTAGGTATCATATCATGTCGTTTATTTTCTTTTTTTAATTAATAATCATTTTGCCCAGGATGGCGAAAAAAGAAAAATCAATAGTGCTATTTTAAAACACTATGAATATTAGTCATTAATTTTTGTAAAAATTTCATCATTTAATGAAAAATGGCTAATAATGCATTATAAGCAAGAAAGGTTTGCATAAAGTAATCATTCCATCAATATTTTTAAAATTTTACATTTCAGTTTATTAATCTCTAAAAGAGTAATGCAAGCCATTAAATAGAATTGCTTTTTGCAAGAAATTATAATTTCTGCCCGCATTTTATTTTTTTTTCCACTTTTACTATTTCAATACTAAAATTTTGAAAGTAATATTAAAGTCGAGAATTTATACCTCCTTAATTTTTTATTAATAACAGAAAGGTATGAAATTAAATGAATTTTTTTAATGATAAAGTTAGCATTATAACACAATTTTAAATGAGGGTTTAATTTTTAATAATCTAGCCATTTTAATATCATGGTAGAAAGTGAACAAAAAACAGAATGTGATGCAATGCAAATAAAATTGTTAATTAAGTTCAAAGGAAAAAATATACTTTTTAATGAATTGCAACTTTAAAACATAACAAAATTAAAATCTTTTTCCTTATTTAAATTACAGGAGCTAGAACAAAACAGAAGGCAAGTGTTATTAATAATACAGTTGGGCTGATTAAATAAATGTAACTGATAGAATCACAGCTCGGGTAAATACTTCCCCTCACAACATATCGAGTAGTCTTATCTCTTTCAATTACGTTACAATAATACTTTTCAAGTGAGCAGATAGGACGCACTTATCCTAAAGAAGTTCGAAATGCAAATTCTTAATTTTCTTACAAGTTGGACAATCATTTCCTCTTTTAATATGTCAAGTACCGCCCTTATTTTGCTTTCAGCAAGAGAACGGGTAAGGCGCATTTATCCTTCGAAACTTCTGATAATTTCAAAGAGTACTCCAAGTATGCGGAGTATGTAATAATTACTACTATGTGTGCATATCTTTATATTACCGTTTGAGAGAGGCAAATTTGGTATTAGCTCCTTCCTCTACAAGCTCGGCAAACACTTTCTCTCGTAATGTGTCAAACACTTCCACACCTTTTTCTCCCATATCTTTTAGCTATGTTACAATTACTACCTATTTTCCATATTTAAAAAAGATTATTCAAATTCGATATATGGATCCATATTCAAATTTGTAATTAAAATTAATTTCAATGTCAAAAATTAATTGAAATCATCACTAATTTTAACCTCGTTAATTTATGCATTAAAATATTGCTCCAAAGTGAAATTTAAAAAAAATTTTTTTTCTGCATAAATTGTCAAATGTCCACCACAGAATGTGGGCAGTTCATGTGCAAATAAAATAATCAATTAGGTTAAAAATATATTTATTTTTAAATGAATTAGCAGTTCCTAACATTGTTGGCGTTTAATTAGAGCATAATTTAGAAAAATTAAAATTTATTTCCTTATTAAATTTGCTAAAACTATTTGAAATTGCCAAATTTTCATAAAGTTCCATATATAAATTTATAATTAAAATTAATTTTGAAGTCAAAAACGAATTGAGAAATTGAAACTATACTGCAAAAAAGAGGCAGATAAATGGGAATCGACTTATCCACTACCAAAATCGCTATTACAGACATTCCCAATGAAACCAACTGTTTGTTTTCCCCCTATAGCTATATCCCGATAACAAGATTCGTAATATGTTATAAATTTGTAACCTATATTACTAATCTCTATGTGGCCATTTCCTTACATATAAAAAAGTGTAATGGATTCCCCACAACTTTCACATATCGCTGGTTTAGTGGTGAAAGGTGCTCGACAGTTCTTAATCAATCCATGAGCCCGCCAAATCCGCCACACAAAAGCCAAAACGTACGTGACAAAGATGCACACTAGTGCATAATAATTTGCAGTTGCCAGAAGATTATGGGAGACAGATAGGCATGGACAACACTGATCAATTTCTTGGCGATTATGGAAAGCTATTTTTATGATTTGCAGTAGAACTTGCAACTGATCAATATGAAGTGAAGTCTAAGCGACATCTGTAGTGAATAAAGTTAGCCATGAAGATGGTATCTTCATTGATTACAAACAAACAAAGTGATAGATGGACTGCCTGTAAAAGTAACATTTTTTTCATAACAAGAAGTTAGCAGACCACTTTTAAATTTCCACGTATAATTGAAATGATTGTCTCAATTGTTTGCAGATGCTTTTTAACCTGTCATTGACCTATTATCATGTATTTATCTCATAATCACTTTATCATTTGGTATCATTAAAGTTTCCTCATTGATATATATGCCCATTTCTTAGAAAATAGCTAAAGTGCACTGTTCATCAATTTCATCCGATGATTACCATTTGAAATTTTCTATATTTTCCAGAAAATATTATTTTGTAAATCATTATTTGAAATTCATTATCAATGAACTTCTTAGTTCTAGAAGTCTTGGAAAAATGAAGGAAACTAACAAGAACAATAAAAATGAGACTCCCTTGCAATGATTTTTGTGTTATTTCTTCCAAACTGCAAGAAACATCTCGTAATAAGCACATGTAAATCTAAAAATTATACTAGTTTAAAATAATTTTATTTTCGTATAGCCTGATTAACTTTTCTATTGCATAGAAATATATTACTGGTTTATACAAAACGTTTTCTACTCCTGTCGTCATATTATTTCATTTTTGAAAGAACCCAGTCGTTAGCTACTTGAACGATCGACTTGGTAGTGGTCGAAGCTAAATATGAGGAAAAAGGAATAAACGGAAATGTAATGGAATGAATAAACCAGTAAAATCATTTTCAAAAATCAAACATTTTTAAGCGATGACATCTTTCATGGCATTATCGCTGCCGAATAATAAGCAAATTATCTAATCTATATCAATACCGAGCTTCGCATTTCCTTTTTGGTTCATTTAGAGATCCAAGATAATTTTGAGGTAATGGAATAATTTCTGAAGCCTGATTTGAACAGTTCTTACCTTCCAACAAATCTGTTAACTTTAATGATATTTCTCTTTGTGTAAGTTGTTTACCTCTTTGCATTTAACTGACTCCATCACAAAGTATGCTAATCTGCAAGTTTTAAGTAAAAAAAAGAGAAAAAGGAATATTCGACTACCAAGTTCGTATGTTAGTAGTGTCTTAAAAAACAAAATTATTTCCACCGTATGATTCTAATTGCAACTGAGCTTACAATTCCATAAATTTACAGCACGTTGGAGATCATAAGATATAGCATATTTTGCATAGAAATACTATGTAATCAACGCTATGATATGCAACAAACAACGAATAAATAAAAGCAAATAATGTATAAGTGAGATGCAGCCAAGAATGTAAATGATATGAATCTGATGTTGTAAAAGCAAATTTAGAATTTCTTTCTTACTGCTCTGTTTCCTTGTGAAACAAAATAGCTTCCTTTCTTGATCGTTGACTTCTTGGTCCTCGATACTGGTAGAATCTCGAATCTGTACTGGTTCCGTTCTGTGTACGTGTACTGTGGGAGTCTTCGTGAAACATTTTATTATTCAAACCTCAAACTTGGGTAATTAAACCTTAGATTAACAATAAATATTATACAACATTACAATAATGAATTGATACGTAACATACAAATGTAACTTAATTACAAAACATTTAAAGATACAAGAAAGCTAGACATCTCGCAACCGAGCCATACCAAACAAGGAACTATAATCAGTGGCTTTGTAAGGAAGAAAATTGGGAGGGATTTTTGGGTGTTAAGGTTACGAAGTGGATGAAAATCATTTAAAACAATAGCCTTTGTTCATTAGGTTATAGCTTCGCCATTGTGGTGACATCCCGACTCGAGAAGTAGTAAACAAAATGACCGAACTTGTTATCAGTCTGTTCCTAGCTCTTTGGTATCTTTTTCCTTCCGCCGAATCGAGGACAGATGGATAATTTTTCTTCATCTTCGTCATCTTCTAGTTCGATATTTGGGTCCACGACTTGGTACTGTTTGTTTTGACTGATGCTCAGGGGTAGAGGTGGTTCAGTGGTCTTTCCCAAATGTGTCCATTGGACATTTTAAGTTGTGCCCTCGGATATTACCGGCTTGTGCTATTAACTTGGTGATGCGCGTCAGAGGCTTTTAACGATCCGTCTTTCATTCTCTTTCTTTTATTAAATGAATATCAACATAGAGTGTAATAAAAATTCACTTTGCTTATTTCTGGATATATTTTTCAATTATACTAATGATTTTATGCATGATAGTTCCCTATATTATAATCAATCTATGTTACTTGTTCGAATGACGAACTATTCGTTACCAATGAAAATTCGAAATTTCCCTGAACTTAAAAATCATATAAAAATTAAACTTAGAAATCATAAAAAAGTATCTATAGATAATTTTTTTTTTAAAAAAAGAAAATGAAATTTTTGGAAAATCATTTTTTTTTTTCAAAAAAAAACTTTAGTGAATTAAAGTAAACATAATAGATTAATAGTTTTTGTTTTCTTCCAGACAAAAAAAAAAGGAGACAAAAGAAACGCCCAATAAAAGAAGATTTTTATTTCGGATACTAATGCAACAAGTAATTTTACTCAGGAACTAATGCAGCAGATCTTTTTACTTCGGGAATTAATGCATGTGAAACGGTTTTAACATCAACTGGATGAAATAACTCCCACAAAAAAAATAATATGATAATAACAATCATTGTTTAATCCTTTATACTGAATTGTTTCATTTAAGCTGATATATTGCATTGTTGAAAATAATTTATGCAAAGCATTTGTGACAATGTTTGCAATTTTATTTCATTTTGTTTCAATTTTTCCACATTTTCCAATCTTTGGGAATATTAATGAGAGGGCAAAACTACATCGCTGCATCTCTTAATATTGATTTATAAGTGCTAAATGATTTCAACAAATTTTTGTAATCTTTGGCTTCGACTTCATTTTCAAATTTGCTATGTATGCATGCAAATTAAGCTTATTAAATTTCTTTGCATCATGTAATGTGTGAAAGTAGTTGTGAAATGAGTACTAATTGATATTTCTGATACTTATCAACCTTTCAAATTTCAACCATAGTAAAATTAAAAAAGAAAAAAACGGTGGTCTTTTTTCCTAAAGTTCTAAGTCAATCATTAATTCGATGTAGCCTGTCAGTGCTACTCATTAAATATTAGTATTTTAATTGGAATTAGAATTAGCGGTTGAACCCCAGTAACAAATCGATAGATCAATTGGCTGATTGGAACAATAAAAAGCAAATGAGGAGGATGTTTGGTCTGATACAAATTCACTTGTTCACGATGAATCGGAGTGTAGCATTCGATTAATTAATGAAGCGCTTGGGAAGTTTGTGTGCAGTGCATAGCTAATCTATCTGATCGTAAATGATTTAACGAAATTAAAATTCGTCATTTTATTGATTAGTAGATTTGTAACAGTGAAATTCAAGTTAATTCAATATAAACAGATTTGAAGTATGAGGAAAAAAAGTAGCGCAAAAGCAGAAAAAACCGCAAAATTAGCCTTCGAGGTATAAATAATAGCAAATTTTATTTTTCTTCTTGTTCATTCTCATTTTGCTAGTAAATTATGAGAAAGCAAAAATGAGAAATTTTCATGTAGAATAATATATTGATATAAATTTGATATGCATACAGTTCAAATCAGACTTCAAAAATTATTCCATTACCTCAAAATTATCTCGGATCTCTAAATGGACCAAAAAGGAAAGACAATAGCTCGGTATTGATATACATTAGATAATTTGCTTATTATTCGGCAGCGATAATGCCATGAAAGATGGTGGACGTTGGAAATGTTATCGCTTGAAAATGTTTGATTTTCGAAAATGATTTTACTGGTTACCGTGGTGTAGCGAGAAAGAAGTGAGATTGTCTCCCAATTTCAGGAGAGCATTTCACACATTTAATTTTAATGGTTTAATAAAAGCATTTTCAGAAGAAGTTGAAGATAAAAAGTTGAAGCGTTTTCATTGATTACAAGGGTTACAATTATTATATTTCTTATTATAGCTTAGTCTTCAAATCACTTTTCATTTATAATCTCTTTTTATTTTCCATTTAATTCAAGTTTATCAACTAACTTCATTTTGCAATTTACATTATATAATACTACCATAAAAGAAATAAAGCTTTTGCTAAAATGAAAAAATCTATAATAACATTAGTTAATACCCCTTTTGTATTCTTTGTTGAATCATATACAATATTATCACTTTGTTTATTTTCTCGATGAATTACGGCTGCAGTTTTCTTCCATGTATCTTCACATATTAGATTAATAGATAACAGATTAGCGAAAACCGGATCAACTACTAATAAGAATAAACACAAAACTTTTTAATAACAAGATAATTAGTGAATGATATTCCGTTCACCAACAGTTTCTTTTTTTTTCATAGAGATAAAGATAATTCACACCAAAATGACCACGGTCTTTTTTTAGTTTCATTATGGTTGAAATTTGAAAGATTAATAAGTGTTAGAAATCATCAATTGATACTCATTTGACAGCTACCTTCATCACATTATATGTTGCAAAATATTTTAATAAGCTTAATTTATACATGTACATAGCAAATTTGACAAAACAAATTTGAAAATGAAGTCCAAACCAAAGATTAGAAATATTTGCTGAAATCATTGAAAATGTAAAAAAATTGAAGCAGAATGGAATAAAATTGTGCAAAAAATATCACAAGTGCTTTGCATAAATTATTTGCAACAATGCGATATAGCAACTGAAATGGAATTATTTAGTGTATAGGATTAAATAGTGACTGCCATTATCATATCACTGTACGTATTTTTTATATCCTATTGTTATTACTATACCTGTGTTATTATACGTGGACATAGGTTATCAATCTACGTACTTTGCCACTCCCATCTGAATAAGCACTTATACATACAATTCTCCAACAATACCTAAACAGAAGTAATCAGGTAGCCCAGTCAAACTCTCCTACAAATTTCATTCAGTAAGTTCTGTTTCACTTATTTCGATAGAAGATGTTACTGCTTTTCAAACTTCTGAATTATGATAGGGATTTTGGATTCGATGATAAATTTGTAAATAATCTAATATATTTAAAGAAGCATTTACTTGAAGAAATTTCTCCTTTTCGCATTTTTCAGAATTGGCAAGAAGTTATTCATTGACATGCATTTCATCTATATTTTCTTCTTCTTCCAACTGAACAATATTCAAACCACCGTAAGTCCATTTAAAGTATAAAAATGTAACATAGCGTTGCGATTTAAAATTTTACACGGTATCAGATTGATAATTTCATATCATTTGAGGTAGCGCAAACGGATCAAACAGAACCGTTGGATTTATCAATATCAAAAGTGAAAGTGAAGGGGGATGGATTACAAGGCTTATCAATGGAAAGAAAGGGTGAAGAAGAAATTGGATTGCAAGTGTTGCAAACAAAGCTCTTGGATTTATCGGCTCCAAAAGCAAAAAAGGAAGGAAATAGGGCACAAAGTTTATCAGTGGAGGGAGTGAGTGATGAACGAATAAAACCACTGTTACGGCTCGTTCCAATCGAAACAGTAGTGAAACTATCAAGGCAAGAAGGAAGGGCGAGAACGAAGAAGCGTTGTGATATATGTCGAAAGGAAGTATCAAACATGAAAGAACATATGATGACTCATACAGGTGAGAAGCCGTGCAGTTGTCCAATGTGCAAAAAGAATTTTACTCAGTTCAGTAATATGAAAAAACATATGATGACTCATACCGGCGAAAAGCCGTACAGTTGCCCGACATGCAAAAAAAATTTCACTGACTCCAGTAATATGAAAAAACATATGATGACTCATACCGGTGAGAAGCCGTACAGTTGTTCAATATGCAAGAAGAATTTCGCTCAGTCCGGGGATATGAAAAAACATATGATGACTCATACCGGTGAGAAGCCGTACAGTTGTTCAATATGCAAGAAGAATTTCGCTCAGTCCGGGGATATGAAAAAACATATGATGACTCATACCGGCCAAAAGCCGTACAGTTGCCCGACATGCAAAAAAATTTCACTGACTCCAGTAATATGAAAAAACATATGATGACTCATACCCGTGAGAAGCCGTACAGTTGTTCATTATGCAAAATGAATTTTACTCAGTTCAGTAATCTGAAAGAACATATGATGTTTCATGCCGATGAGAAGCCGTACAGTTGTTCAATATGCAAAAAGAATTTCACTCAGCTCGGGGATATGAAAAAACATATGATGATCCACAACGGTGAAAAGCTGCACAGTTGCCCGATATGCAGGAAAAGTTTCACACATAAACACCATTTGCAGTCTCACATGGGAACTCATGACGTGAATAGACCAGTCTATCACTGTACTGTATGCAGTAAAGATTTTCAGACTAAAGCCGGCTTGAAATTTCACATGCAGAATCATTAAACCTTACGCACTTTAAAGAAAAGAAATGCGCTTTGCTATTTCTGTTATTGTTAATTATTTATATTTTCTATTGGTCAAATTCTAGTTACATATTCCTTTTTTTGTTGACAAGTTATTGTTGGTTTCTTTGAAGCAATGTGTTGCAATACCTTTCTTTGCTTTGATTATGCTTGGAATTTAACGAGTTAATGAGTATTGGAAGTTATCAATTGATATTCATTTGACAGCTATTTTCATCACATGGTGTTATATATGATGACTGTAAGATTTTTACATTTTACACAGATAACACAACTAATTTAAAAATTATTCTAAAAATGAAGTCCAAACGAAATATTTGATGAAGCATTTAACATTTAAAAATCATTATTATCAATTATAGGAGCAATGTAGTTTCCTCCTCTCGTTAATATTCCTAAATATTTGAAAATGTGAAAAAATTGAAGCGAAATGAAATAAAATTGCAAAAAATGTCACAATTGCTTTGCATAAATTATTTTCAATAACACAATACAGCAGCTGAAAAGAAACTATTCAGTATAAAGGACTAAACATTAACCACTGTTATCATTTTATTTTACACTACAGTATATTCTATTATTATTATGCATAGTTACTATGCATATTTTATTATAAGTTGACGCAAAAACAATACACGTAGTTTGCCACTCCCATCTGAATGAGCATTTATACAAACGATTCTCTAACAATAGCTAAGCGAACGTAATCGGGTAGTCTCTGTCAAACTCTCCTACAAATTTCATTCAGTATATTTTGTTCCATTTATTTCGATTGAAGATGTTACCACTTTTCAAACTTTTTAGTTATGATAAGGATTTTGGGATTCGATTATAAATTTTTAATTAATCTAATATATTTAGAAAAGCATTTACTTGAAGAAATTTCTCCTTTTCGCATTTTTCAGAATTGGCAAGAAGTTATTCATTGACATGCATTTCATCTATATTTTCTTCTTCTTCCAACTGAACAATATTCAAACCACCGTAAGTCCATTTAAAGTATAAAAATGTAACATAGCGTTGCGATTTAAAATTTTACACGGTATCAGATTGATAATTTCATATCATTTGAGGTAGCGCAAACGGATCAAACAGAACCGTTGGATTTATCAATATCAAAAGTGAAAGTGAAGGGGGATGGATTACAAGGCTTATCAATGGAAAGAAAGGGTGAAGAAGAAATTGGATTGCAAGTGTTGCAAACAAAGCTCTTGGATTTATCGGCTCCAAAAGCAAAAAAGGAAGGAAATAGGGCACAAAGTTTATCAGTGGAGGGAGTGAGTGATGAACGAATAAAACCACTGTTACGGCTCGTTCCAATCGAAACAGTAGTGAAACTATCAAGGCAAGAAGGAAGGGCGAGAACGAAGAAGCGTTGTGATATATGTCGAAAGGAAGTATCAAACATGAAAGAACATATGATGACTCATACAGGTGAGAAGCCGTGCAGTTGTCCAATGTGCAAAAAGAATTTTACTCAGTTCAGTAATATGAAAAAACATATGATGACTCATACCGGCGAAAAGCCGTACAGTTGCCCGACATGCAAAAAAAATTTCACTGACTCCAGTAATATGAAAAAACATATGATGACTCATACCGGTGAGAAGCCGTACAGTTGTTCAATATGCAAGAAGAATTTCGCTCAGTCCGGGGATATGAAAAAACATATGATGACTCATACCGGTGAGAAGCCGTACAGTGTTCAATATGCAAGAAGAATTTCGCTCAGTCCGGGGATATGAAAAAACATATGATGACTCATACCGGCCAAAAGCCGTACAGTTGCCCGACATGCAAAAAAAATTCACTGACTCCATAATATGAAAAAACATATGATGACTCATACCCGTGAGAAGCCGTACAGTTGTTCATTATGCAAAATGAATTTTACTCAGTTCAGTAATCTGAAAGAACATATGATGTTTCATGCCGATGAGAAGCCGTACAGTTGTTCAATATGCAAAAAGAATTTCACTCAGTCCGGATATGAAAAAACATATGATGACTCATACCGGCAAAAGCCGTACAGTTGCCCGACATGCAAAAAAAATTTCACTGACTCCAGTAATATGAAAAAACATATGATGACTCATACCGGTGAGAAGCCGTACAGTTGTTCAATATGCAAGAAGAATTTCGCTCAGTCCGGGATATGAAAAAACATATGATGACTCATACCGTGAGAAGCCGTACAGTTGTTCAATATGCAAGAAGAATTTCGCTCAGTCCGGGATATGAAAAACATATGATGACTCATACCGGCCAAAAGCCGTACAGTTGCCGACATGCAAAAAAAATTTCACTGACTCCAGTAATATGAAAAAACATATGATGATCATACCCGTGAGAAGCCGTACAGTTGTTCATTATGCAAAATGAATTTTACTCAGTTCAGTAATCTGAAAGAACATATGATGTTTCATGCCGATGAGAAGCCGTACAGTTGTTCAATATGCAAAAAGAATTTCACTCAGCTCGGGATATGAAAAACATATGATGATCCACAACGGTGAAAAGCTGCACAGTTGCCCGATATGCAGGAAAAGTTTCACACATAAACACCATTTGCAGTCTCACATGGGAACTCATGACGTGAATAGACCAGTCTATCACTGTACTGTATGCAGTAAAGATTTTCAGACTAAAGCCGGCTTGAAATTTCACATGCAGAATCATTAAACCTTACGCACTTTAAAGAAAAGAAATGCGCTTTGCTATTTCTGTTATTGTTAATTATTTATATTTTCTATTGGTCAAATTCTAGTTTACATATTCCTTTTTTGTTGACAGTTATTGTTGGTTTCTTTGAAGCAATGTGTTGCAATACCTTTCTTTGCTTTGATTATGCTTGGAATTTAACGAGTTAATGAGTATTGGAAGTTATCAATTGATATTCATTTGACAGCTATTTTCATCACATGGTGTTATATATGATGACTGTAAGATTTTTACATTTTACACAGATAACACAACTAATTTAAAAATTATTCTAAAAATGAAGTCCAAACGAAATATTTGATGAAGCATTTAACATTTAAAAATCATTATTATCAATTATAGGAGCAATGTAGTTTCTCCTCTCGTTAATATTCCTAAATATTTGAAAATGTGAAAAAATTGAAGCGAAATGAAATAAAATTGCAAAAATGTCACAATTGCTTTGCATAAATTATTTTCAATAACACAATACAGCAGCTGAAAAGAAACTATTCAGTATAAAAGGACTAAACATTAACCACTGTTATCATTTTATTTTACACGTTATCAGTATATTCTATTATTATTATGCATAGTTACTATGCATATTTTATTATATAAGTTGACGCCAAAAACAATACACGTAGTTTGCCACTCCCATCTGAATGAGCATTTATACAAACGATTCTCTAACAATAGCTAAGCGAACGTAATCGGGTAGTCTCTGTCAAACTCTCCTACAAATTTCATTCAGTATATTTTGTTCCATTTATTTCGATTGAAGATGTTACCACTTTTCAAACTTTTTAGTTATGATAAGGATTTTGGGATTCGATTATAAATTTTATAATAATCTAATATATTTGGAATAGCATTTACTTGATGAAATTTCTCCTTTGCGTAGTCAAATGAGTACAATTGATATTTCTAACAATTATCAACCTTTCAAATTTAAACCATAATAAAAAAAGAGAAAATAAAAGCGTAGTCTTTTTTTAAAAATAAAAACTCCATAGTGACAATGAATAATGTTTAGAGGAAGAAATAATGAATGATGATTATTTGATCATAATCAAAATAAAATGTTTTCTTATTAAACTTTCATCATCAATAAACTTTTTTTCCCATTCAAACATGATTCATGCTTTTATTTAAATGGTAGAAGAGATATAACAACATGTTCCTTTATATAACTCTTCAAGTGTTTCATCCATTCGAAGCATTTATTAGTTGCCAACCAATTATTCGGTCATTTCACAATAGAAAATCAGAGCTTATTTCTATTTAGCATCATTAAAAATTACGCTTTACGTCTTATTTTCAATTAAATACGCATTGCTATTCCTGTTATTATTGATTATTTATATTTTTCATCAGCAAATTCTTCTGTCATTTGTCTTTATTTGTTAAATAATTCTCTCTCACTATTATTGTTGTTATAGTTGCGTTAATCTTGGTCATATAAATTTTTATCATTTTTCATGTCATTTTTCTTGTTAAGATCAATCAAAATCTCCTTAAAATAGCGCCCAACATGCATGATATAATTGGCAAACTTTAATAATATAGTAGCATCACTTTAACTCAGTTTACATACAGTACATTCTTTCTGAAAAATGAACTAATCAAGTATCATCTCACAGATCTTGTATAAACGAAGCGTCTCGCTTGCTTTATTTCACTATAAAAAACATTCAGAAAATTAAGTAACCATACATAAAACAAGTACAAAATGAGAAAGAAAACAAACAATGAAAGTAATATAACGGGCGTTCATGTGAACACACGCTTGAAATCATGGCAGAAATAACAAAAGATACAAATAAATAGTAAATATAGCAGCCATCATACTTTTTTACTCATGTGAAGGAATTTTATGAACAAAAGTCTGTGTTCATAATTTTGCAGTGAATTAAACCCAGCCATGATATTGCTAATTTACTTAGCAATTATACATTAATGAACTTAATTAGTGACATAGGCTTAGGAAAAAAATATGTAATCAATAAGAGTAACAGAATTTTCTTATAGAAGAACAACAAACAATTCAAGCCAAAATTTAAATATTTACACTTACATCCAGACTAGCAACTTCTCCCAAAATAATTAAATTTACAAATCTTCTACGACAAATTTGATGCCACAAGCCAGGAAAAGGAATATAATTACAATAGCCTTTACTATTATTGATGGCTTGGAAATAAATTGAAAAGGTGTGATTCATGAAGGAAACAGTTACATGGTAAACTGCTTTATTAGCATGAGGCTCTATACTGCTGTAGCTTCGTCCTGAATAACATCATATTGTAGGCGATATATATTTGAAATTTATAAAAGTTTGCTTTCTTTACAGGTGCATGAAATTCAGTTCTTTCTAGTTCAAGATGCTTCAAACATTTATATTTTCTGAAAGGTCCATTCTAGTGTTTAATTAACATGCAAAAATGTTTTCAGTTTTCAGTCTTCTTATATAGCAAGCAATATGCGTAAAAAAGTATATGATTTACAATAAGAAAGAGTAACCAGTCTAACAAAAAGCTTGATTATACAGTAACAAAAAAAAAAAAAAAAAAAAAAAAAAAAAAAAAACTGATTAGTTTACAAGCAAATTTAATTACTAGTTGACAAACCGCAAAGGATATTATTAAGCAAAGGTTGTTAACTTCGTAGATTCAAGGATAATTCACAATTAGTGGCGACACAATAATGAGATCAACTAAATGAGCAAATACTGTGTAAACAATATGTAAAAGATTTAAGACTAAACATAGGGTTGAAAACAAAAAGAGTTATAAGCTTTATTTGCAAGATTTCATAGAACATATTACTTACTCATATAATATTTTAGAGTCTCACGATATTAAAATTACTATGAACACTTCCCTACGGGAAAGTGCCTAGTAATTTTACCAAGAATCAGGAGAATTCAACTTCAGTTCTTCTCTATCAAGTTACTGTGCTAACTGCTTCTGCTAATAAAGGAATTATTATATTTTTTTGTTACCCCAAACATTTAAATCCAACAAATCTCTTCGAGATCAGCAGCCTCTCTCAAAATAATTGAATTTATAAATCTTCCACGACAGCCAACTGTTATTGGACGGAACCAACGTTGTTCCTAACTGGTAGGACTTTACCGCCTTTTTTTTAGTTTTATTATGCTTGGAATTTGAAGGGTTAATGAATATTAGAAATCATCAAATGTAATCATTTGATTTGAAGCTATCGTCATCACATGGTGTTATATACGATGACTGTAAAAATTTTTAATATGCTTAATTTACACAGATGACACAAAGCAAATTTGAAAATAAACTTTAAAAATGAAATCCAAACGAAATATTTGATGAAAAATTTAACATTCATAAATCAATATTATCAATTACAAGAGTTGCAGCAACGTAGTTTTCCCTCTCGTTAATATTCCCAAAGACTGGAAAATGTGGAAAAATTGAAACAAAAGGAAATAATATTGCAAAAAATGTCACAATTGCTATACATAAATTATTTTCAACAGTATAATATAGCAACTGAAATGAAATTATTCAGTGTAAAGGATCAAACACTGATTGCTATTATCATATCATTATACGTAATATTTTATATTCTATTATTATTATCCCCATATTGTTTATTACACGCGGACGTAAGTTATTAATATACGTAGTTTGCCACCTCCATCTGAATGAGCATTTATACATGCGATTATTTAACAATATCTAACAGAAGTAACAGAAGGCCTCTGTCAAACTCTCTTCCACAAATTTCTTTCATTTATTTTGTTCTCTTTTCAGAGCTCTGATTAGAATTTTGGGACTCGATGATAATCTAGAAAAGCATTTATTTGGGCAAATTTTTCCTTCGGCATTTGTCAATGAGCAATTGCCTAGTAAATTTGAATGTTTTCAGAATTGGCAACAAATTATTCTCGTTGGCAGTTGGCATGCATTTCATCTATTTCTTCTTCTTCTTTTGCAACTGAACAATATTCAAACAACCGTAAGCCCATTTAAAGTTTAAAAAATAGAACATAGCGTTGCGATACCATGGAGATTTAAATTTTTACCCGGTATGAGATTGATAATTGCATATCATTTGAGGTAGCGCAAACGGATCAAACAGAACCATTGGATTTATCAATATCAAAAGTGAAAGAGAAAGGCAATGCATTACAAGGCTTATCAATGGAAAGAAAGTGTGAAGAAGAAATTGGACTGCAATTGCTTCAAACAAAAACATTGTATTCAACCGCTTCAAAAGTCAGTGATGAACGAATTCCAATCGAAACAGTCATGAAAGTAATGGAAATGTCAAAGCAGGAAAGTAGAACGAAAAAGAAGCAACGCCACGATGTACACCAAAAGCAAGAACATACGATGACTCATACCGATGAGAAGCCGTACAGTTGTCCGACATGCAAAAAGAACTTTACTCAGTTCAGTAATATGAAAAAACATATGATGACTCATACCGGTGAGAAGCCGTGCAGTTGTCCAATGTGCAAAAAGAATTTTACTCAGTTCAGTAATATGAAAAAACATATGATGACTCATACCGGTGAGAAAGCGTACAGTTGTTCAATATGCAAAAAGAATTTCACTCAGTTCAGTAATATGAAAAAACATATGATGACTCATACCGGTGAGAAGCCGTACAGTTGTTCAATATGCAAAAAGAATTTCACTCAGTTCGGGATATGAAAAAACATGTGATGACTCATACCGGTGAGAAGCCGTACAGTTGTTCAATATGCAAGAAGAATTTCACTCAATTCGGGGATATGAAAAAACATATGATGACTCATACCGGTGAAAAGCCGTACAGTTGTCCAGTATGCAAAAAGAGCTTCATTGAGTCCGGCAATAGAAAAAGGCATATGATGACACATGCCGGTAGAAAACCGTACAGTTGTTCAGTATGCAAAAAGAATTTCACTCAGTTCGGGGATGTGAAAAAACATATGATGACTCATACCGGTGAGAAACCATACAATTGTCCGATATGCAAAAGGAATTTCACTAACTCCGCTAATATTAAGCAACACATGCTGACTCATGCCGGTCAAAAGCCGTACAGTTGTCCAACATGCAAAAAAAATTTTACTCAGTTCAGTAATATGAAAAAACATGTGATGATTCATACCGGTGAGAAGCCGTACAGTTGTTCAATATGCAAAAAGAATTTTACTCAATTGGGAAATATGAAAATACATATGATGATTCATACCGGTGAGAAGCCGTACAGTTGTTCAATATGCAAGAAAAGTTTCACTCAGTTCGGGGATATGAAAAAACATATGCTGATTCATACCGGTGAAAAGCCGTACAATTGTCCAATATGCAGAAAAAGTTTCACACAAAAATACCATTTGCAGTCTCACATGCTAACTCATGATATAAACAGACCAGTCTACCACTGTACTGTATGCAGTAAAGATTTTCAGACTAAATGCGGATTGAAATTACACATGCGGGATCATTAAAGGTTGCGCTTTACTCTTTATTTTATTTTATAAAAAATACGCATTGCTATTTCTGCTGCTATTGATTATTTATATTTTTCATCAGTCAATTTTTCTATCACTTCTTTATTTGTTAGATAACTCTTTATCTCTCGCTGTTATTGTTGTTATAGTTCCGCGTCTTGGTCATATATGTATATTTGTTTTTGTTAGAATAAATAAGTTCCCTAACCGTTCCTACGTGGTACCTTGTATGCTATGCATGAAGAACTTGGAAATTAATATTGCTGTTGTTAAATTATTAATGAAATTAAATTGCTTACTCGATTATTGCATAAACAACATGGATACCATAAAGTTAACTACGCAATTTGCAATGAAAACTTCATCCATTCATTTCATTTGTCGATTCGCATTCAGAATTCTGTTTCAGTTACTCTATTTGCGTTCAAAATTCCATTCACTAAAAATATTTGATAATCTAACCCAGTAGTGAATCCATCAGTGAATAACAGCATTAGCTAGTAAAGTTTTTTGAATTAAACCCGACTTGAAACCACATATGCGGAATCGTTAAAGCGTGCAGGTTAAATAGAAATAAGCTCTGATATTTCTATTGTGAAATGACCGAATAATTGGTTGGCAACTAATAAATGCTTCGAATGGATGAAACACTTGAAGAGTTATATAAGGAAACATTGTGCCATAAAGATCAAATATGTCTGTGCAACTATTTCTGCTGGAGCAAAATATTCATAATGTTAATAATTCTCACATTGCATAATCCTACTAATACAAATCGTAAAAACTTTTCTTTATTAAATAATATTGGATTTCATTGAATATAACCACAAAATCCTGACTTGACATAAGTGATCTTTTGAGTTAAATTTACTTCAATTTCCATAATTGACCTTTTTTCTTTCATTCTGCATTTATGACTATCATCATTTATTGCGTGACGAAAATTTTTGTGACATAAAAAAGGAATGTAATTAAAGGAGTGATTAGCTCTATAGCGCAACAGACTTGTTTTGATGAGTAAATAAGGTTTGTGTAGGTTGAATAAAACTTGTGAAATTACTGCTAATATTTATTTCAAATTTGAGCACGAAAAAATAACTTATCGAAACATTTCAGTGAAGAAGATGAAATATCACTATTCATTTTTTCATTATCCTTTAAGTATATAATTAAAAATCTTGTTGTCATTGAGGTTGCAACGGATTAAAGATTTCTATCTTTTTAGATTGAAGTAAACTTGAACACTCTTTCGTCGATTGAATTAAAAAGAAATCTTTTTCAGAGAAAGTGCATTAAATTATATATTTTGGAAATTTTTGTATTTAAATTAACAATTTAATTAGCTTCGAATAAATGAACGAAAATTTTGAAGTAATTATTTTTTATTCTTTTCATTTCATTACCTTTAAATTTCAATGCCTTTAAACATCTTTGCATATCACATTTGACATTGAAAAAAGCAGAAAATTGCCAATTTCATTTTATAATTTATTTCTACTGGAAATATAGAAATTGTAATATCATGTTAATCATTAGAGATCATAGCTTTTTGGATATTACCAGAAGCGATAACTTTGTGCGCTTTAGTAAATTTTATGTACCTAATTATTTAAATCAAATAAAAAATAAAAAAGAAAACGGTGAATAACCTCCTTTTTTATTTATATATAAATTCATAAATAAGAATGAAATAATTGTTGTGGAAGCAAAATTTTACGGAAGATTTGATAATTTAATTTATTATTGGAAAATTTTTCTAAGAAAGAATTTAAAATATGGTTTTAAAATGAAAACACTTCTTAATAACAAATGTCAATTGGAGTCAGTAATCAAATTCATTTTATTAGTTGCTAAGAAATGTAGTGCTACTGAGTTATCAGATTATATATTTTGTTAAAGGTTAAACATTTCGCTAAGTTTTTCCAAATTTAGCAACTCTTTACATCGTTTTTCTATCAGATTAAAAGAAATGTGACTAATTCTTTAGAACTTAAAAAATAAAGAAATCATGAATGCCTACACTTTTGAAACCGGTTGGATCTGATTGGGATATGTGCGAAGGTTGTTTCGCTTACATGCCTTTTTTAGGTAAGTTTTCCTTAATATCTTCAATTTCGTCGATTCCTAAGTGAAAATTTCATTTATATTTTCATCGTTTTTTTTTTTTTTTAATAGATTTTATTATATTAATTGTTTTCTTACTAGGCATTAAATAATGGATGAATTAATTCATTTTTAAAAAGTCTGTTAAATCGCCTGTGACTGTAACGATTTACTAGCCAGCCGGTAGTCGATATTTGATAGAAAATATATGAATTACAGTTGATCGAATTAAATATCATTTTTAGTCATTAACTTATTCAATCATTGATAACGAATAGTTCGACACTCGAATAAGTAAGAAAAAAAGGAAGTTGACTGTAATGTTGCAAATTATTATGCATAAAATCACTAGTATAAAATATATTTAAAGATCAAATCCAGAAATAACTAAATTAATTTCGTGCTACACTGCATGCCAATATCAGAAAGAGGATGAAAAACGAATTGTTAAAAGCATTGTTTTGTACTTAGTTCAGGATGTGATGTTTGGATAATTATTTATACTTAACATGTCGATTGGAATAATGTTAAATCACGGTTTGAATTTGCCAAAGTGATGCTTGAAATAAACGACTGCTCACATTTGACTTATTCTTTTTTGTAAGTTATTTGAATTTGTTTAAATTTCAATTAAAGAAGATGACGAGGAAATATGCGAAATATGTATAAGTTATATCTTGTTACCATCCTTATTTATCAGAACAAATTGAAGCCTGTCCTCTCTGTACTTCTTATATATACCTTTAATTTTGAAAGAGTTTTACAATGAGGGATTTCAGATAATTCCAGTCCGAGCTTGTCGTGTGGAGCCTTTGGGCAACTCTAGTGGTTACATAGCCATGGATGGCAAACCGATTATTCCCATTCAGCATTTCAAGTGATGCAACCAGGCATTGTGGAACGTTATTGGACGGAACCGACGTTGCTGATTACTGATAGGACTTTACTATCGTCTTTTTTTTTTTTCAGTTGGTATTCATTTGATTGTTAAGTTTGTCACATTATATGTTATATACGATGACCGTAAAAAATTTTAATAAGCATAATTTAAGCCTAACACAAAGCAAATTTGAAAATTAAGTTTAAAAATGAAGTCCGAGCGAAAGACTGGATGAATTTGTAAATCAGTATTACCAATTATAGGAGATGCAACAAAATGTAGCAGTTTTCACTCACGCTAATATTCCCAAAGATGCAGCAGTCTTCCACTCACGTTAATATTCCCAAAGATTTGAAAATCTGGGAACATTGAAATGAAATGAAATAAAATTGCAAAAAATGTCACAAAAAATGCAACTGCTTTGCATAAATTATTTATAACAACCAATGCAGAAGCTGAAAAGAAATCATTGAGTATAAAGGATTAAACAATGACTGCTATTGTCATTTTACTATACACTAATATATATTCTATTATTATAACTATAAATATGTTATTATACGCGGACGTAAGTTATCAATACACGTATAGTTTGCCACTCCCATCTGAATGAGAACTTATACATGCGATTATCTAACAATACCCAACAGAATTGATCGGTTGGCTTCTGTCAGACTCTCCTACAGTTTTCATTCAGGATGTTCTGTTTCATTCATTTCGATAGCAGATGCTACCACTTTTCAAACTTTTGAGTTATGACAAGGATTTTGGAATTAGATGACAAATTTGTAAATAATCTAATATATTTAGAAAAGCATTTACTTGAAGAAATATCTCCTTTGCTCATTTGTCAAACAGCAGCGATATTATTCTTTAGAAGCAACCGTCAGTAAATTTAAATGTTTTTCAGAATTAACAACAAATTATTCTCATTGACATGCGTTTCATCTATTTATTCTTCTTCGTCTTCCAACTGAGCAATATTCAAACAACCGTAAGTACTTAAATTTAAAAATACAGCATAGCGCTACAATACCGTCGGGATTTAAAATTTTACACAGTGTGAAATTGATAATATCATATCATTTGAGGCAGCGCAAACGGATCAAACAGAACCATTGGATTTATCAATATCAAAAGAAAAAAGAGATGCATTACAAGGCTTATCAATGGAAAGAAAGGATGAAGAGGAAATTGAACTGCAATTGCTTCAAACAAAACCATTGGATTTAACCGCTTCAAAAGTCAGTGATGAACGAATTCCAATCGAAACAGTCATGAAAGTAATGGAACTATCAAAGGAAGAAAGAAGGGCGGGAAGGAAACAGCATTGCAATATATGTCAAAAGGAAGTAACACATATGAAAGGACATTTGATAACTCATACCGGTGAGAAGCCGTGCAGTTGTCCGATATGCAAAAAGAATTTCACTGACTCCAGTAATATGAATAAACATATGATGATTCATACCGGTGAAAAGCTGTACAGTTGCCCGACATGCAAAAAGAATTTCACTGACTCCTACAATATAAATAGACATATGATGACTCATACCCGTGAGAAGCCGTACAGTTGTTCATTATGTAAGAAGAATTTTACTCAGTTCAGTTATATGAAAAAGCATATGATGTTTCATGCCAATGAGAAGCCGTACAGTTGTTCAATATGCAAAAAGAATTTCACTCAGTTCGTGGATATGAAAAGACATATGATGATTCATACCGGTGAAAAGCCGTACAGTTGTCCGATATGCAGGAAAAGTTTCACTGAACCCGGTAATATGAAAAAACATATGATGATTCATACCGGTGAAAAGCCGTACAGTTGTCCAACATGCAGGAAAAGTTTCACACATAAACACCATTTGCAGTCTCACATGGGAACTCATGATGTGAATAGACCTGTCTATCACTGTACTGTATGCAGTAAAGATTTTCAGACAAAAAATGGCTTGAAATTTCACATGCAGAATCATTAAACCTTGCACACCTTAAAAAAAAGAAATGCTTTGCTATTTCTGTAGTCGTTGATTATTTATATTTTGGATTGATCAAATTCTAGTTACATATTCCTTTTTTTGTTGACAAGCTGCTGTTGATATCTTTTATCTTATATGCATATTAAGGTCATTTCGTTCACTGTTTTGATTCCTGTAACGCATTTCTCAACATTAGCTTCATCCATTGATTTCATTTGCAAGTAGCCATGTGTGCTATGCACGAGATATTTGCAAATAAGTATCGATAGTGTTCAATTACTAATAAAATGAAATTGCTCATATGTATTCCTCCCTCGATTATTGTATGAATAAAATAGAAATAAATTTTTGGGAAAGAAAAGAATCATCTTAATCACAACATATCATTTACATTCTTGGCTGCATCTCACTTATACATTATTTGCTTTTATTTATTCATTGTTTGCTGCATAGTATAGGGTTGATTATAAGTATTTTTATGCAAAATCTGTTGTCAGGAAGGTCCTTATGATCTCCAACATGCTGTAAATTTATGAAATTGTGGACTTAGTTGCAACTAGAAAAGTCGTACGATGGAAATAATTCCTTGTCCTCTTTTTTTACTTAAAACGCAGTGATGGAATCAGTTAAATGCAAAGTGGCAAATAATTTACACAGAGACAAATATCATTCAAAGTTAAAGAGTTTGTTGAAAGGTAAGAACTATTCAAATCAGGCTTCAAAAATTATTCTATTACCTTAAAATTATCTCGGATCTCTAAATGGATCAAAAAGGAAACGCAACAGCTTGCTTACTATAAATGTAAAAAAAAAAAATTTCTTTTAAACAGATTAAAATAAATGTGACTAATTCTTTAGAACTTAAAAAATAAAGAAATCATGGATGCCTACACTTTTGAAACCGGTTGGATCTGACTGGGATGTGTGCGAAAGTTGTTTCGTTTACAAACCTTTCTCATTTGGGTAAGTTTTTCCTTAATATTTTCAATTTTCAAATTCCGAAATCAAAAGTTTTCCAAATGGAAAGTTCATTTGTATTTTTAGGTTTTTCCTTGGAATAGGTTTTGTTATATTAGTTGTCTTTTTATTAGTTATTAAATGATGATAGATTAAATCATTTTAAAAAGCCTACTAAATCGTTTGTTCACTGACTGTGACAATTTGTTAGCCAAAATAATGCAGATGAATTTCAGTTAATTGAATTACATATCATTTACACTATATGTCGATATTCAATATCGGAAAGAGGATGAAAGACGAATCGTTAAAAGCACTGTTTTATACTTAGTTCAGGAATTGATGTGCCTCACCTTCTATATGCTCGTTTGGATGATGATTTATACTTAACATGTCGATTGGAATAATGTTAAATCACGGTTTGAATTTGTCAAAATGATGCTTGAAATAAATGACTGCTCATATTGGCTCTTGAAATAAACGACTCAAAAAAGATTTTGCAGGTTATTTGAATTTGCTTAAAATTCATTAAAGAAAACTACGAGAACGCATGTTTAAAATGTATAAATTATATCTTGTCACTATCCATTTTTGTAAAGACAAATTGACCTTCTCAAGTTTTACGGTGAAAAATTATAAATAGTTCTAGTCCGAGCTTGTCGTGTAGAGCCGCTAGGCAACTCTAGCAATTATATAGCCATAGATGGCGGACTGATACCTTCAGGGTCAGCATTTCAAGTGATGCCAACCAGATATTGTGCAAATGATTATTGGACGCAACCAATGCTTCTCATTACTAATCTCACTCTCAGTCAGTGATCTTTACCACCATCTTTTTCTTTTTTCTTTTCTAGTTTCATTACGGTTAGGATTTTGGTTGAAAGGTTGATCAGTATTAGAAATTATCAACTGGTATTCATTTGACAGCTACCTTCATCACATTATATGTTATATACGATAACTATAAAAATTTAATAGGCTTTATTTACACACATATACACCGAAAATGGGGTTCAAACGGAATATTTATTTATTTTCTCCACGAATTACGGCTGCAGTTTTCTTCCATGTATCTTCACATATTAGATTAATAGATAACAGATTAGCGAAAGCCGGATCAACTACTAATAAGAATAAACCCAAAACTTTTTAATAACAAGATAATTAGTGTATGATATTCCGTTCACTAACAGTTTCTTTTTTTTTTAAATAGAGATGAAGAAAATAAGTCAAATTATCTTCCACTTTCTTCTGTTATATCTCATCCACCATTTAAATAAAGAATGAATCAAAAAATGCTGAATGAGAAAAAAAGTTTATTGATGGAAGAAAGTTTAAAAAGAAAACATTTCATTTAAATTATGATCAAATAATCATCATTCATTTCTTTCTCAAAACATTATTCATTATCACTATCCTGTTATTATTGTTTAAAAAAAGACCACCGCTTTTATTTTCTTTTTTTTTTTTTTTTATTATGGTTTAAATTTGAAAGGTTGATAAGTGTTAGAAATATCAATTGGTACTCATTTGACAGCTATCTTCATCACATTATATGTTACAAAATATTTTAATAAGCTTAATTTACACATGTACATAGCAAATTTGACAAAACAAATTTGAAAATGAAGTCCAAACCAAAGATTAGAAAGATTTGCTGAAATCATTGAAAATGTAAAAAAATTGAAGCAGAATGGAATAAAATTGTGCAAAAAATATCACAACTGCTTTGCATAAATTATTTGCAACAATGCGATATAGCAACTGAAATGGAATTATTTAGTGTATAGGATTAAATAGTGACTGCCATTATCATATCACTGTACGTATTTTTTATATCCTATTGTTATTACTATACCTGTGTTATTATACGTGGACATAGGTTATCAATCTACGTACTTTGCCACTCCCATCTGAATAAGCATTTATACATACAATTCTCCAACAATACCTAAACAGAAGTAATCAGGTAGCCCTGTCAAACTCTCCTACAAATTTCATTCAGTAAGTTCTGTTTCACTTATTTCGATAGTTACCACTTTTCAAACTTTTGAATTATGATAGGGATTTTGGATTCGATGATAAATTTTTAATTAATCTAATATATTTAGAAAAGCATTTACTTGAAGAAATTTCTCCTTTTCGCATTTTTCAGAATTGGCAAGAAGTTATTCATTGACATGCATTTCATCTATTTTTTTTTCTTCTTAAAACTGAGCAATATTCAAACCATCGTAAGTCCATTTAAAGTTTAAAAATACAATGTAGCGCTGCGATTTAAAATTTTACACGGTATCAGATTGATAATTTCATATCATTTGAGGTAGCGCAAACGGATCAAACAGAACCGTTGGATTTATCAATATCAAAAGTGAAAGTGAAGGGGGATGGATTACAAGGCTTATCAATGGAAAGAAAGGGTGAAGAAGAGATTGGATTACAAGTGCTTCAAACAAAGCCCTTGGATTTAACCGCTTCAAAAGTCAGTGATGAACGAATACCAATCGAAACAGTCATGAAAGTAATGAAAATATCAAAGCAGGAAAGTAGAACGAAAAAGAAGCAACGCCACGATGTACACCAAAAGCAAGAACATACGATGACTCATACCGATGAGAAGCCGTACAGTTGTCCGACATGCAAAAAGAACTTTACTCAGTTCAGTAATATGAATAAACATATGATGTTTCATGCCAATGAGAAGCCGTACAGTTGTTCAATATGCAAAAAGAATTTCACTCAGTTCGGGGATATGAAAAGACATATGATGATTCATACCGGTGAAAAGCCGTACAGTTGTCCGATATGCAGGAAAAGTTTCACTGAACCCGGTAATATGAAAAAACATATAATGATTCATACCGGTGAAAAGCCGTACAGTTGTCCGATATGCGGAAAAAGTTACACTCGAAGATACACTTTGCAGTCTCACATGGTAACTCATGACATGGATAGACCTGTTTACCACTGTACTGTATGCAGTAAAGATTTTCAGACTAAAACCAGTTTGAAATTTCACATGCGGAATCATTAAACCCTGCGCACTTTAAAGAAAAGAAATGCGCTTTGCTATTTCTGTTGCTGTTGATTATTTATATTTTGTATTGATCAAATTCTACTTATATATTCCTTTTTTTGTTGACAAGTTGCAGTTAGTTTTTTTAATCATTTTTGTATATTATGGTCATTTCCTTCACTGTTTTGATTCCTGTAACGCATTTCTCAACATTAGCTTCATCCATTGATTTCATTTGTATATGACCATATGTGCTATGCACGAGATATTTGCAAATAAGTATCGATATTGTTAAATTACTAATAAAATGAAGTTGCTCATATGTATTCCTCCCTCGATTATAGCATAAATAAAATGGAAATAAATTTTTGGAAAGAAAAGAATCATCTTAATCACAACATATCACTTTATAAAGTTATATGATTATGCGATTTGCAGTAAATACATCAGATTCATATCATTTACATTCTTGGCTGCATCTCACTTATATATTATTTGCTTTTATTTATTCGTTGTTTGTTGCATAGTGTAAAAATTTAGTATTTTTATGTAAGATCTGCTATCAGGAAGTTCTTTTATGATTTCCAATATGCTGCAAATATATGAAATTGAGAAACAATGAATAATTTGCTTATTATTCGGCAGCGATAATGCCATGAAAGATGTCATCGCTTAAAAATGTTTGATTTTTGAAAATGATTTTACTGGTTTATTCATTCCATTACATTTCCGTTTATTCCTTTTTCCTCATATTTAGCTTCGACCACTACCAAGTCGATCGTTCAAGTAGCTAACGACTGGGTTCTTTCAAAAATGAAATACTATGACGACAGGAGTAGAAAACGTTTTGTATAAACCAGTAATATATTTCTATGCGATAGAAAAGTTAATCAGGTTATACGAAAATAAAATTATTTTAAGCTGCGATTTAAAATTTTACACGGTATCAGATTGATAATTTCATATCATTTGAGGTAGCGCAAACGGATCAAACAGAACCGTTGGATTTATCAGTATCAAAAGTGAAAGTGAAGGGGGATGGATTACAAGGCTTATCAATGGAAAGAAAGGGTGAAGAAGAAATTGGATTGCAAGTGTTGCAAACAAAGCTCTTGGATTTATCGGCTCCAAAAGCAAAAAAGGAAGGAAATAGGGCACAAAGTTTATCAGTGGAGGGAGTGAGTGATGAACGAATAAAACCACTGTTACGGCTCGTTCCAATCGAAACAGTAGTGAAACTATCAAGGCAAGAAGGAAGGGCGAGAACGAAGAAGCGTTGTGATATATGTCGAAAGGAAGTATCAAACATGAAAGAACATATGATGACTCATACAGGTGAGAAGCCGTACAGCTGTTCAATATGCAGAAAGAATTTCGCTCAGTTGTGGAATTTAAAAAGACATATGATGACTCATACCGGTGAGAAGCCGTACAGTTGTTCAATATGCAAAAAGAATTTCACTAACACCGCTAGTATGAAGCAGCACATGATAACTCATACCGGTGAGAAGCCGTACAGTTGTTCAATATGCAAGAAGAATTTCGCTCAGTCCGGGGATATGAAAAAACATATGATGACTCATACCGGCGAAAAGCCGTACAGTTGCCCGACATGCAAAAAAAAATTCACTGACTCCAGTAATATGAAAAAACATATGATGACTCATACCGGTGAGAAGCCGTACAGTTGTTCAATATGCAAGAAGAATTTCGCTCAGTCCGGGGATATGAAAAAACATATGATGACTCATACCGGCGAAAAGCCGTACAGTTGCCCGACATGCAAAAAAAAATTCACTGACTCCAGTAATATGAAAAAACATATGTATGACTCATACCCGTGAGAAGCCGTACAGTTGTTCATTATGCAAAATGAATTTTACTCAGTTCAGTAATCTGAAAGAACATATGATGTTTCATGCCGATGAGAAGCCGTACAGTTGTTCAATATGCAAAAAGAATTTCACTCAGCTCGGGGATATGAAAAAACATATGATGATCCACAACGGTGAAAAGCTGCACAGTTGCCCGATATGCAGGAAAAGTTTCACACATAAACACCATTTGCAGTCTCACATGGGAACTCATGACGTGAATAGACCAGTCTATCACTGTACTGTATGCAGTAAAGATTTTCAGACTAAAGCCGGCTTGAAATTTCACATGCGGAATCATTAAACCTTGCGCACTTTAAAGAAGAGAAATTCGCTTTGCTATTTCTATTTTTGTTGATTATTTATCTTTTCTGTTGATCAAATTGTAGTTATATATTCGTTTTTTGTTGAGAAGATATTGTTGATATCTTTTATCTTATATGCATATTAAGATCATTTCCTTCACTGTTTTGTTTCCTGTAACGCATTTGTCAACATTAGCTTCATCCAATGATTTCATTTGTTTCAATTTTTCCACATTTTCAAATATTTGGGATTATTAGCAAGAATGGAAAATTACACCGCTGCATCTCTTATAATTGATAAGATTGATTTATAAATGCTAAATAATTTCAGCTTCAAATTTGCTTTGTGCTGTATGTAAATTAGGTTATTAAATTCTTTTTACGGTTATCATATTTAACACCATGTGATGTAGATAGCTGTCAAATGAATTCTAATTGATGATTTCCAGTACTTATAAACTTTTCAAATGCCAACCGTAATGAAACTATGAAGGAAAAAGGACGATGGCAAAGGTCCTATCATTTACTGATAGTAATCAGCAACGTTAGTTCCGTCCAATAACGTTGCACAATGTGGTTGGCATCATTTGAAATGCTGAACGGGATGTTATCGATTTGATATCTATGCTATGTAGCCAACAGAATTGCCTAATGGCTTTACACGAAAAAGTCGGACTGGAATTATCTGCAATTCCTCATTGTAGAATTTAAGAGAGACAGGCTTCAATTTGTTCTTATAAACAAGGATGGTGGCAAGATATATTTTATAAATTTTTATCATACGTCCTTTTCATTTCTTTAATTGAAATTTAACAAATTCAAATAACCTGCAAAAGAGAATAAGTCAAATGTAGGCAGTCGTTGATTCCAAGCATCATTTTGACAAATTCAAACCGTGATTTAACATTTTTTCTAGTCGACATATATTAAATATAGGAAGTCATCGTCCAAACGAGCACATAGAAAGTGAGGCACATCAATTCCTGAACTAAGTATAAAACAGTGCTTTTAACGATTCTTCTTTCATCCTCTTTCCGACATGGAATATCGACATATAGTGTAAACGATATATAATTCAATCAACTGAAATTTATCTGCATTATTTTGGCTAATAAATTGTTACAGTCAGTGAACAAACGATTTAGCAGACTTTTTAAAATGGTTTAATCTATCATGATTTAATGCTTAGTAAAAAAAATCTATTCCATGAAAAAATTATAAAAATACAAATGAACTTTCCATTTGGAAAACTTTTGATTTCGGAATTTGAAAATTGAAAATATTAAGGAAAAACTTACCCAAATGAGAAAGGTTTGTAAACGAAACAACTTTCGCACACATCCCAGTCAGATCCAACCGGTTTCAAAAGTGTAGGCATCCATGATTTCTTTATTTTTTAAGTTCTAAAGAATTAGTCACATTTATTTTAATCTGTTTAAAAGAAATTTTTTTTTTTTACATTTATAGTAAGCAAGCTGTTGCGTTTCCTTTTTGATCCATTTAGAGATCCGAGATAATTTTAAGGTAATAGAATAATTTTTGAAGCCTGATTTGAATAGTTCTTACCTTTCAACAAACTCTTTAACTTTGAATGATATTTGTCTCTGTGTAAATTATTTGCCACTTTGCATTTAACTGATTCCATCACTGCGTTTTAAGTAAAAAAAGAGGACAAGGAATTATTTCCATCGTACGACTTTTCTAGTTGCAACTAAGTCCACAATTTCATAAATTTACAGCATGTTGGAGATCATAAGGACCTTCCTGACAACAGATTTTGCATAAAAATACTTATAATCAACCCTATACTATGCAGCAAACAATGAATAAATAAAAGCAAATAATGTATAAGTGAGATGCAGCCAAGAATGTAAATGATATGTTGTGATTAAGATGATTCTTTTCTTTCCCAAAATTTATTTCTATTTTATTCATACAATAATCGAGGGAGGAATACATATGAGCAATTTCATTTTATTAGTAATTGAACACTATCGATACTTATTTGCAAATATCTCGTGCATAGCACACATGGCTACTTGCAAATGAAATCAATGGATGAAGCTAATGTTGAGAAATGCGTTACAGGAATCAAAACAGTGAACGAAATGACCTTAATATGCATATAAGATAAAAGATATCAACAGCAGCTTGTCAACAAAAAAAGGAATATGTAACTAGAATTTGATCAATCCAAAATATAAATAATCAACGACTACAGAAATAGCAAAGCATTTCTTTTTTTTAAGGTGTGCAAGGTTTAATGATTCTGCATGTGAAATTTCAAGCCATTTTTTGTCTGAAAATCTTTACTGCATACAGTACAGTGATAGACAGGTCTATTCACATCATGAGTTCCCATGTGAGACTGCAAATGGTGTTTATGTGTGAAACTTTTCCTGCATGTTGGACAACTGTACGGCTTTTCACCGGTATGAATCATCATATGTTTTTTCATATTACCGGGTTCAGTGAAACTTTTCCTGCATATCGGACAACTGTACGGCTTTTCACCGGTATGAATCATCATATGTCTTTTCATATCCACGAACTGAGTGAAATTCTTTTTGCATATTGAACAACTGTACGGCTTCTCATTGGCATGAAACATCATATGCTTTTTCATATAACTGAACTGAGTAAAATTCTTCTTACATAATGAACAACTGTACGGCTTCTCACGGGTATGAGTCATCATATGTCTATTTATATTGTAGGAGTCAGTGAAATTCTTTTTGCATGTCGGGCAACTGTACAGCTTTTCACCGGTATGAATCATCATATGTTTATTCATATTACTGGAGTCAGTGAAATTCTTTTTGCATATCGGACAACTGCACGGCTTCTCACCGGTATGAGTTATCAAATGTCCTTTCATATGTGTTACTTCCTTTTGACATATATTGCAATGCTGTTTCCTTCCCGCCCTTCTTTCTTCCTTTGATAGTTCCATTACTTTCATGACTGTTTCGATTGGAATTCGTTCATCACTGACTTTTGAAGCGGTTAAATCCAATGGTTTTGTTTGAAGCAATTGCAGTTCAATTTCCTCTTCATCCTTTCTTTCCATTGATAAGCCTTGTAATGCATCTCTTTTTTCTTTTGATATTGATAAATCCAATGGTTCTGTTTGATCCGTTTGCGCTGCCTCAAATGATATGATATTATCAATTTCACACTGTGTAAAATTTTAAATCCCGACGGTATTGTAGCGCTATGCTGTATTTTTAAATTTAAGTACTTACGGTTGTTTGAATATTGCTCAGTTGGAAGACGAAGAAGAATAAATAGATGAAACGCATGTCAATGAGAATAATTTGTTGTTAATTCTGAAAAACATTTAAATTTACTGACGGTTGCTTCTAAAGAATAATATCGCTGCTGTTTGACAAATGAGCAAAGGAGATATTTCTTCAAGTAAATGCTTTTCTAAATATATTAGATTATTTACAAATTTGTCATCTAATTCCAAAATCCTTGTCATAACTCAAAAGTTTGAAAAGTGGTAGCATCTGCTATCGAAATGAATGAAACAGAACATCCTGAATGAAAACTGTAGGAGAGTCTGACAGAAGCCAACCGATCAATTCTGTTGGGTATTGTTAGATAATCGCATGTATAAGTTCTCATTCAGATGGGAGTGGCAAACTATACGTGTATTGATAACTTACGTCCGCGTATAATAACATATTTATAGTTATAATAATAGAATATATATTAGTGTATAGTAAAATGACAATAGCAGTCATTGTTTAATCCTTTATACTCAATGATTTCTTTTCAGCTTCTGCATTGGTTGTTATAAATAATTTATGCAAAGCAGTTGTGACATTTTTTGCAATTTTATTTCATTTCATTTCAATGTTCCCAGATTTTCAAATCTTTGGGAATATTAACGTGAGTGGAAGACTGCTGCATCTTTGGGAATATTAGCGTGAGTGAAAACTGCTACATTTTGTTGCATCTCCTATAATTGGTAATACTGATTTACAAATTCATCCAGTCTTTCGCTCGGACTTCATTTTTAAACTTAATTTTCAAATTTGCTTTGTGTTAGGCTTAAATTATGCTTATTAAAATTTTTTACGGTCATCGTATATAACATATAATGTGACAAACTTAACAATCAAATGAATACCAACTGAAAAAAAAAAGACGATAGTAAAGTCCTATCAGTAATCAGCAACGTCGGTTCCGTCCAATAACGTTCCACAATGCCTGGTTGCATCACTTGAAATGCTGAATGGGAATAATCGGTTTGCCATCCATGGCTATGTAACCACTAGAGTTGCCCAAAGGCTCCACACGACAAGCTCGGACTGGAATTATCTGAAATCCCTCATTGTAAAACTCTTTCAAAATTAAAGGTATATATAAGAAGTACAGAGAGGACAGGCTTCAATTTGTTCTGATAAATAAGGATGGTAACAAGATATAACTTATACATATTTCGCATATTTCCTCGTCATCTTCTTTAATTGAAATTTAAACAAATTCAAATAACTTACAAAAAAGAATAAGTCAAATGTGAGCAGTCGTTTATTTCAAGCATCACTTTGGCAAATTCAAACCGTGATTTAACATTATTCCAATCGACATGTTAAGTATAAATAATTATCCAAACATCACATCCTGAACTAAGTACAAAACAATGCTTTTAACAATTCGTTTTTCATCCTCTTTCTGATATTGGCATGCAGTGTAGCACGAAATTAATTTAGTTATTTCTGGATTTGATCTTTAAATATATTTTATACTAGTGATTTTATGCATAATAATTTGCAACATTACAGTCAACTTCCTTTTTTTCTTACTTATTCGAGTGTCGAACTATTCGTTATCAATGATTGAATAAGTTAATGACTAAAAATGATATTTAATTCGATCAACTGTAATTCATATATTTTCTATCAAATATCGACTACCGGCTGGCTAGTAAATCGTTACAGTCACAGGCGATTTAACAGACTTTTTAAAAATGAATTAATTCATCCATTATTTAATGCCTAGTAAGAAAACAATTAATATAATAAAATCTATTAAAAAAAAAAAAAAAACGATGAAAATATAAATGAAATTTTCACTTAGGAATCGACGAAATTGAAGATATTAAGGAAAACTTACCTAAAAAAGGCATGTAAGCGAAACAACCTTCGCACATATCCCAATCAGATCCAACCGGTTTCAAAAGTGTAGGCATTCATGATTTCTTTATTTTTTAAGTTCTAAAGAATTAGTCACATTTCTTTTAATCTGATAGAAAAACGATGTAAAGAGTTGCTAAATTTGGAAAAACTTAGCGAAATGTTTAACCTTTAACAAAATATATAATCTGATAACTCAGTAGCACTACATTTCTTAGCAACTAATAAAATGAATTTGATTACTGACTCCAATTGACATTTGTTATTAAGAAGTGTTTTCATTTTAAAACCATATTTTAAATTCTTTCTTAGAAAAATTTTCCAATAATAAATTAAATTATCAAATCTTCCGTAAAATTTTGCTTCCACAACAATTATTTCATTCTTATTTATGAATTTATATATAAATAAAAAAGAAGGTTATTCACCATTTTCTTTTTTATTTTTTATTTGATTTAAATAATTAGGTACATAAAATTTACTAAAGCGCACAAAGTTATCGCTTCTGGTAATATCCAAAAAGCTATGATCTCTAATGATTAACATGATATTACAATTTCTATATTTCCAGTAGAAATAAATTATAAAATGAAATTGGCAATTTTCTGCTTTTTTCAATGTCAAATGTGATATGCAAAGATGTTTAAAGGCATTGAAATTTAAAGGTAATGAAATGAAAAGAATAAAAAATAATTACTTCAAAATTTTCGTTCATTTATTCGAAGCTAATTAAATTGTTAATTTAAATACAAAAATTTCCAAAATATATAATTTAATGCACTTTCTCTGAAAAAGATTTCTTTTTAATTCAATCGACGAAAGAGTGTTCAAGTTTACTTCAATCTAAAAAGATAGAAATCTTTAATCCGTTGCAACCTCAATGACAACAAGATTTTTAATTATATACTTAAAGGATAATGAAAAAATGAATAGTGATATTTCATCTTCTTCACTGAAATGTTTCGATAAGTTATTTTTTCGTGCTCAAATTTGAAATAAATATTAGCAGTAATTTCACAAGTTTTATTCAACCTACACAAACCTTATTTACTCATCAAAACAAGTCTGTTGCGCTATAGAGCTAATCACTCCTTTAATTACATTCCTTTTTTATGTCACAAAAATTTTCGTCACGCAATAAATGATGATAGTCATAAATGCAGAATGAAAGAAAAAAGGTCAATTATGGAAATTGAAGTAAATTTAACTCAAAAGATCACTTATGTCAAGTCAGGATTTTGTGGTTATATTCAATGAAATCCAATATTATTTAATAAAGAAAAGTTTTTACGATTTGTATTAGTAGGATTATGCAATGTGAGAATTATTAACATTATGAATATTTTGCTCCAGCAGAAATAGTTGCACAGACATATTTGATCTTTATGGCACAATGTTTCCTTATATAACTCTTCAAGTGTTTCATCCATTCGAAGCATTTATTAGTTGCCAACCAATTATTCGGTCATTTCACAATAGAAATATCAGAGCTTATTTCTATTTAACCTGCACGCTTTAACGATTCCGCATATGTGGTTTCAAGTCGGGTTTAATTCAAAAAACTTTACTAGCTAATGCTGTTATTCACTGATGGATTCACTACTGGGTTAGATTATCAAATATTTTTAGTGAATGGAATTTTGAACGCAAATAGAGTAACTGAAACAGAATTCTGAATGCGAATCGACAAATGAAATGAATGGATGAAGTTTTCATTGCAAATTGCGTAGTTAACTTTATGGTATCCATGTTGTTTATGCAATAATCGAGTAAGCAATTTAATTTCATTAATAATTTAACAACAGCAATATTAATTTCCAAGTTCTTCATGCATAGCATACAAGGTACCACGTAGGAACGGTTAGGGAACTTATTTATTCTAACAAAAACAAATATACATATATGACCAAGACGCGGAACTATAACAACAATAACAGCGAGAGATAAAGAGTTATCTAACAAATAAAGAAGTGATAGAAAAATTGACTGATGAAAAATATAAATAATCAATAGCAGCAGAAATAGCAATGCGTATTTTTTATAAAATAAAATAAAGAGTAAAGCGCAACCTTTAATGATCCCGCATGTGTAATTTCAATCCGCATTTAGTCTGAAAATCTTTACTGCATACAGTACAGTGGTAGACTGGTCTGTTTATATCATGAGTTAGCATGTGAGACTGCAAATGGTATTTTTGTGTGAAACTTTTTCTGCATATTGGACAATTGTACGGCTTTTCACCGGTATGAATCAGCATATGTTTTTTCATATCCCCGAACTGAGTGAAACTTTTCTTGCATATTGAACAACTGTACGGCTTCTCACCGGTATGAATCATCATATGTATTTTCATATTTCCCAATTGAGTAAAATTCTTTTTGCATATTGAACAACTGTACGGCTTCTCACCGGTATGAATCATCACATGTTTTTTCATATTACTGAACTGAGTAAAATTTTTTTTGCATGTTGGACAACTGTACGGCTTTTGACCGGCATGAGTCAGCATGTGTTGCTTAATATTAGCCGAGTTAGTGAAATTCCTTTTGCATATCGGACAATTGTATGGTTTCTCACCGGTATGAGTCATCATATGTTTTTTCATATCCCCGAACTGAGTGAAATTCTTTTTGCATATTGAACAACTGTACGGCTTCTCACCGGTATGAGTCATCATATGTTTTTTCATATTACTGAACTGAGTGAAATTCTTTTTGCATACTGAACAACTGTACGGTTTTCTACCGGCATGTGTCATCATATGCCTTTTTCTATTGCCGGACTCAATGAAGCTCTTTTTGCATACTGGACAACTGTACGGCTTTTCACCGGTATGAGTCATCATATGTTTTTTCATATCCCCGAATTGAGTGAAATTCTTCTTGCATATTGAACAACTGTACGGCTTCTCACCGGTATGAGTCATCACATGTTTTTTCATATCCCCGAACTGAGTGAAATTCTTTTTGCATATTGAACAACTGTACGGCTTCTCACCGGTATGAGTCATCATATGTTTTTTCATATTACTGAACTGAGTGAAATTCTTTTTGCATATTGAACAACTGTACGCTTTCTCACCGGTATGAGTCATCATATGTTTTTTCATATTACTGAACTGAGTAAAGTTCTTTTTGCATGTCGGACAACTGTACGGCTTCTCATCGGTATGAGTCATCGTATGTTCTTGCTTTTGGTGTACATCGTGGCGTTGCTTCTTTTTCGTTCTACTTTCCTGCTTTGACATTTCCATTACTTTCATGACTGTTTCGATTGGAATTCGTTCATCACTGACTTTTGAAGCGGTTGAATACAATGTTTTTGTTTGAAGCAATTGCAGTCCAATTTCTTCTTCACACTTTCTTTCCATTGATAAGCCTTGTAATGCATTGCCTTTCTCTTTCACTTTTGATATTGATAAATCCAATGGTTCTGTTTGATCCGTTTGCGCTACCTCAAATGATATGCAATTATCAATCTCATACCGGGTAAAAATTTAAATCTCCATGGTATCGCAACGCTATGTTCTATTTTTTAAACTTTAAATGGGCTTACGGTTGTTTGAATATTGTTCAGTTGCAAAAAGAAGAAGAAGAAATAGATGAAATGCATGCCAACTGCCAACGAGAATAATTTGTTGCCAATTCTGAAAACATTCAAATTTACTAGGCAATTGCTCATTGACAAATGCCGAAGGAAAAATTTGCCCAAATAAATGCTTTTCTAGATTATCATCGAGTCCCAAAATTCTAATCAGAGCTCTGAAAAGAGAACAAAATAAATGAAAGAAATTTGTGGAAGAGAGTTTGACAGAGGCCTTCTGTTACTTCTGTTAGATATTGTTAAATAATCGCATGTATAAATGCTCATTCAGATGGAGGTGGCAACTATGTATATTGATAACTTTCTTCCGCGTGCAACAAACAATATGGGGCTAATAGTAATAGAATATAAATTATTACATTTAATGATATAATAATAGCAATCAGTGTTTGATCCTTTTCACTGAATAATTTCATTTCAGTTGCTATATTATACTGTTGAAAATAATTTATGTATAGCAATTGTGACATTTTTTGCAATATTATTTCCTTTTGTTTCAATTTTTCCACATTTTCCAGTCTTTGGGAATATTAACGAGAGGGAAAACTACGTTGCTGCAACTCTTGTAATTGATAATATTGATTTATGAATGTTAAATTTTTCATCAAATATTTCGTTTGGATTTCATTTTTAAAGTTTATTTTCAAATTTGCTTTGTGTTATCTGTGTAAATTAAGCATATTAAAAATTTTTACAGTCATCGTATATAACACCATATGATGACGATAGCTTCAAATCAAATGATTACATTTGATGATTTCTAATACTCATTAACCCTTCAAATTCCAAGCATAATAAAACTAAAAAAAAGGCGGTAAAGTCCTACCAGTTAGGAACAACGTTGGTTCCGTCCAATAACAGTTGGCTGTCGTGGAAGATTTATAAATTCAATTATTTTTAGAGAGGCTGCTGATCTCGAAGAGATTTGTTGGATTTAAATGTTTGGGGTAACAAAAAAATATAATAATTCCTTTATTAGCAGAAGCAGTTAGCACAGTAACTTGATAGAGAAGAACTGAAGTTGAATTCTCCTGATTCTTGGTAAAATTACTAGGCACTTTCCCGTAGGGAAGTGTTCATAGTAATTTTAATATCGTGAGACTCTAAAATATTATATGAGTAAGTAATATGTTCTATGAAATCTTGCAAATAAAGCTTATAACTCTTTTTGTTTTCAACCCTATGTTTAGTCTTAAATCTTTTACATATTGTTTACACAGTATCTGCTCATTTAGTTGATCTCATTATTGTGTCGCCACTAATTGTGAATTATCCTTGAATCTACGAAGTTAACAACCTTTGCTTAATAATATCCTTTGCGGTTTGTCAACTAGTAATTAAATTTGCTTGTAAACTAATCAGTTTTTTTTTTTTTTTTTTTTTTTTTTTTGTTACTGTCTAATCAAGCTTTTTGTTAGACTGGTTACTCTTTCTTATTGTAAATCATATACTTTTTTACGCATATTGCTTGCTATATAAGAAGACTGAAAACTGAAAACATTTTTGCATGTTAATTAAACACTAGAATGGACCTTTCAGAAAATATAAATGTTTGAAGCATCTTGAACTAGAAAGAACTGAATTTCATGCACCTGTAAAGAAAGCAAACTTTTATAAATTTCAAATACATATCGCCTACAATATGATGTTATTCAGGACGAAGCTACAGCAGTATAGAGCCTCATGCTAATAAAGCAGTTTACCATGTAACTGTTTCCTTCATGAATCACACCTTTTCAATTTATTTCCAAGCCATCAATAATAGTAAAGGCTATTGTAATTATATTCCTTTTCTTGGCTTGTGGCATCAAATTTGTCGTAGAAGATTTGTAAATTTAATTATTTTGGGAGAAGTTGCTAGTCTGGATGTAAGTGTAAATATTTAAATTTTGGCTTGAATTGTTTGTTGTTCTTCTATAAGAAAATTCTGTTACTCTTATTGATTACATATTTTTTTCCTAAGCCTATGTCACTAATTAAGTTCATTAATGTATAATTGCTAAGTAAATTAGCAATATCATGGCTGGGTTTAATTCACTGCAAAATTATGAACACAGACTTTTGTTCATAAAATTCCTTCACATGAGTAAAAAAGTATGATGGCTGCTATATTTACTATTTATTTGTATCTTTTGTTATTTCTGCCATGATTTCAAGCGTGTGTTCACATGAACGCCCGTTATATTACTTTCATTGTTTGTTTTCTTTCTCATTTTGTACTTGTTTTATGTATGGTTACTTAATTTTCTGAATGTTTTTTATAGTGAAATAAAGCAAGCGAGACGCTTCGTTTATACAAGATCTGTGAGATGATACTTGATTAGTTCATTTTTCAGAAAGAATGTACTGTATGTAAACTGAGTTAAAGTGATGCTACTATATTATTAAAGTTTGCCAATTATATCATGCACGTTGGGCGCTATTTTAAGGAGATTTTGATTGATCTTAACAAGAAAAATGACATGAAAAATGATAAAAATTTATATGACCAAGATTAACGCAACTATAACAACAATAATAGTGAGAGAGAATTATTTAACAAATAAAGACAAATGACAGAAGAATTTGCTGATGAAAAATATAAATAATCAATAATAACAGGAATAGCAATGCGTATTTAATTTAAAATAAAAGGTAAAGCGTAACTTTTAATGATGCTAAATAGAAATAAGCTCTGATATTTCTATTGTGAAATGACCGAATAATTGGTTGGCAACTAATAAATGCTTCGAATGGATGAAACACTTGAAGAGTTATATAAGGAAACATGTTGTTATATCGCTTCTACCATTTAAATAAAGCATGAATCATGTTGAATGGGAAAAAAAGTTTATTGATGATGAAAGTTTAATAAGAAAACATTTTATTTTGATTATGATCAAATAATCATCATTCATTATTTCTTCCTCTAAACATTATTCATTGTCACTATGGAGTTTTTATTTTTAAAAAAAAGACTACCGCTTTTATTTTCTCTTTTTTTTATTATGGTTTAAATTTGAAAGGTTGATAATTGTTAGAAATATCAATTGGTACTCATTTGACTACGCAAAGGAGAAATTTCATCAAGTAAATGCTATTCCAAATATATTAGATTATTTATAAATTTATAATCGAATCCCAAAATCCTTATCATAACTAAAAAGTTTGAAAAGTGGTAACATCTTCAATCGAAATAAATGGAACAAAATATACTGAATGAAATTTGTAGGAGAGTTTGACAGAGACTACCCGATTACGTTCGCTTAGCTATTGTTAGAGAATCGTTTGTATAAATGCTCATTCAGATGGGAGTGGCAAACTACGTGTATTGTTTTTGCGTCAACTTATAATAAAATATGCATAGTAACTATGCATAATAATAATAGAATATACTGTAGTGTAAAATAAAATGATAACAGTGGTTAATGTTTAGTCCTTTATACTGAATAGTTTCTTTTCAGCTGCTGTATTGTGTTATTGAAAATAATTTATGCAAAGCAATTGTGACATTTTTTGCAATTTTATTTCATTTCGCTTCAATTTTTTCACATTTTCAAATATTTAGGAATATTAACGAGAGGAGGAAACTACATTGCTCCTATAATTGATAATAATGATTTTTAAATGTTAAATGCTTCATCAAATATTTCGTTTGGACTTCATTTTTAGAATAATTTTTAAATTAGTTGTGTTATCTGTGTAAAATGTAAAAATCTTACAGTCATCATATATAACACCATGTGATGAAAATAGCTGTCAAATGAATATCAATTGATAACTTCCAATACTCATTAACTCGTTAAATTCCAAGCATAATCAAAGCAAAGAAAGGTATTGCAACACATTGCTTCAAAGAAACCAACAATAACTTGTCAACAAAAAAAGGAATATGTAACTAGAATTTGACCAATAGAAAATATAAATAATTAACAATAACAGAAATAGCAAAGCGCATTTCTTTTCTTTAAAGTGCGTAAGGTTTAATGATTCTGCATGTGAAATTTCAAGCCGGCTTTAGTCTGAAAATCTTTACTGCATACAGTACAGTGATAGACTGGTCTATTCACGTCATGAGTTCCCATGTGAGACTGCAAATGGTGTTTATGTGTGAAACTTTTCCTGCATATCGGGCAACTGTGCAGCTTTTCACCGTTGTGGATCATCATATGTTTTTTCATATCCCCGAGCTGAGTGAAATTCTTTTTGCATATTGAACAACTGTACGGCTTCTCATCGGCATGAAACATCATATGTTCTTTCAGATTACTGAACTGAGTAAAATTCATTTTGCATAATGAACAACTGTACGGCTTCTCACGGGTATGAGTCATCATATGTTTTTTCATATTACTGGAGTCAGTGAAATTTTTTTTGCATGTCGGGCAACTGTACGGCTTTTGGCCGGTATGAGTCATCATATGTTTTTTCATATCCCCGGACTGAGCGAAATTCTTCTTGCATATTGAACAACTGTACGGCTTCTCACCGGTATGAGTCATCATATGTTTTTTCATATCCCCGGACTGAGCGAAATTCTTCTTGCATATTGAACAACTGTACGGCTTCTCACCGGTATGAGTCATCATATGTTTTTTCATATTACTGGAGTCAGTGAAATTTTTTTTGCATGTCGGGCAACTGTACGGCTTTTCGCCGGTATGAGTCATCATATGTTTT